ACGTATTCCACTCACCCCTGGTCATTCAGATTGGCCAGCAGCATCATAGCCTGACCCTCTATTTCAGGAGCATGCTGGGTATTTTGGGGTTTAGATAGGGTAGCCTCTGAAGCTAATCTGTAAAATTTGACAGCACTAGTTGTTTCTCCTGATATGGCATGCATTCGACCTGCTTCATTCAAAAATGCTGCCCTGTATCTATCTGTAAAATAAAACAGCAAAAAAAGCCACATTGTTTATTGAAGGAAAAAAATAGTATTGTTCCTCTATAATTTATAAAGGAACAATACTTGTACATGTAGATACCATTTAATAAGAAAAAAAAGAATAATTAAACAAGTGATCTGCTGATCTAAGAGTAATCTAATGAAATTCAGCCATAAAAAAAGCTTCTTCAAAATTAATTATAAATTCTTTGTGTGCCTTTGTGAAAACAGTATGCCAGAGCCATATGATTTATGCCAATACTTGAATTCATTCTCATATGGTTGAAATACCTGACCAAATCTTATGTTCTTTGACTATAGAATATATTGAATCTCCTAGCTGGCATCAAAGACATTTATTCTAAGTTATTATACATGTACGTACATCTTTTTTCTGACTGAGAAAGCTGGCAGAACAGTTCTGTTGCATGCTGGATATCTCCTCTAGCCCAGAATGCATAAGGTAGGGCCACATCGAAGAACTCTTTGACGATTTTTGGAAGTCTAGAAAAAAAAATACATCAATATTATTCCAAATTTTGAATAATTATCTCTACATGGTTTCGTCAAATCCTCAACAGTGCTAGTTTTGAGAAATTTGTCAAGACTGGTAAATTTGATAGAACATGCATCCCCCCCCCAACTTTTTCCTACATTACAAACACAAGAGACCCAGGGGCCACATAGCTCACCTGAGCTCTGGCAAACTATTATAAAAATCATAAATCAGTTATGTATTGAAAAAAATAAATATCAAAGTAGGTTCAAGTGGGGTCATGATTTGAACACACTTGGATCTGCACTACCTGAAGAAGCTTCCATATGATTTTCATCTTTCCTGGCCAACTGGTTCTTAAGAAGATTTTTAAAGATTTTCCCTATGTATTCCTATGTTAAACTTTGAACCCTGACCTGCCATCATGGCCCCACCCTACCCCTGGGGTCACGAGTTGAATAACCTTGAATCTCCTCTACCTGAAGAAACTTCCACATGAGTTTCATCTTTCCTGGCCCAGTGGTTCTTAAGAAGAAGATTTTTAAAGATTTTCCCTATGTATTCCTATGTTAAACTTTAAACCCTGATCTGCCATCATGGCCCCATCCTACCCCTGGGGTCATGGCTTGAACAAACTTGAATCTGCACTACCTGAGGAAGCTTCCACATGAGTTTCATCTTTCCTGGCCAAGTGGTTCTTAAGAAGAAGTTTTTAAAAGATTTTCCCTATGTATTCCTATGTTAAACTTTGAACCCCCCCCCCCATTGTTGCCATATCCTGCCCCATTTGGTCATGATTTGAACAAACTTGAATCTGCACTACCTGAGGAAGCTTCCACATGAGTCTCATCTTTCCTGCCCTAGTGGTTTTTAAGAAGAAGATTTTTAAAGATTTTCCCTATGTATTCCTATGTTAAACTTTGATCCCCCCCCCCCATTGTTGCCAAATTTTGATCAGAATAGCTCAATTGAGCCTTCAGCTCAGGTGAGCTAATAATAGAGAGGCAAGTTATCCATATATGTTTTGATTTTGTTTTTGTTTTACCAGTATGTGGTGAATGGGAAAAGATAAATATTTTCACAAACTTCATATTCTCCAACTGATTTTGATTTAAAAGTATTTTTAAGGTCAAGATCTAGTAAATAACTTGAGACTAATTTTTTGGTGCTAGATCCATTATGACGTCATAATCAATTTCAACTTTCTTTTTCCCGTACTTTACGGCTTTAGCAGAATTATGTAGAAAATAGGGTATTTTCATGTCATTCAACTTGAAATCATATGAAAAGTAAACCGGATACCTATATTAAATCTGATATTGATTTAAAGAAGAGGCCATGAACATACTAATTACCGTTTTCTGAGAGACTGTAGGCAATCTGGGTACATTTTCTTTGCCGAATACGGAAAAAACTCCCATATTCATAACTGGTTTTCTTAATTTTTCATTGAAATTTACAGTTTAAAATACAGTTTTTCATCTTGTTTACCTACAAATTAAGCCCCGAAACACCTTATTTGACCAAGCTAAAGTTGTAAAGCATCAATAAAGGAATTTATTTCTCAAGTTTGATAAATCTGTAGGCACCTTTCATTTACTAGATCTTGACCTTAAGCACACTAACTCAAAACTGTCTGAAAATCAATGTTGAAATAAGATGTTTGGTCCGATCTTTGTCATGAATACCGTATATACTCGCCTATAAGTCGGTTTTTTGGGAGTTGATATCTGGTCCAAAACTCTGTGTCCGACTTATAGGCGAGCTATTAAAATAATGGTATTACATGAGGTCAGTCCATCTGAAATATAAGCTTATTAAGTACAACCGACTTATAGGCGGACCGACTTATATGCGAGTATATACGGTAATTTGATCAATAACAGAGAGTATAAAATGTTTAAAACTTATCACATGCAAAATCAGGAAAATAAAAAAAATAAACTATTTAAATTATGGTTACATAAATGAATGGTTTACCTTTTAGATAGAGTATGTTTTATTTGTTGACCAGCAGTTTTGGCAGCCATTCTCAGGTGTGCCTCCTCACTCTGATAGGGGACTTTACCCTTTAATTTCCTCCAAGATATTTGAGATGGAAGCATACATTCAATTAAAGTCCCCAGTACTGAAAAAGTGCAGTGTTATTATTAGAGAACATGGTTTAAAGACAGTTGACGCAACAGCTGAGTCAACTATTAAGTTAAAAATTATTACCAGTACGGTATGTAGATAATTTTTTAGCAAATTTGGGAGTTCATTGCATTAGCAAACATATTTTTCTTTGATAAATTTACAAAATTGAACAATTTAGGAAAAAAAATCAGACCTGACAAAAACCAAGGCATATACTGCAATATTGCAGCAGAAGAATGAGAATCATACTGCAGAAGTGGTGGGCATATTGCATGTCCACTGGTGTACATCATACAAGCTGTGACTTTGTTCTTGTTGTAAACATTTGTAAACTGTGTGCTTGATCCCTTTACATAAGGCAGAGAATACCACACACTGCACATTGGAAGTGTTGATACCTGAGAAAATTCATTGAATCCTGGTTTTCTTTCCCAGTACAAATAATTTTCTTCTTTCTTTTCCACAAAAGCCAGCATGTTTAACAGCCATCCATACTGAAATTTCTTAAATTGTAAGTCTGTGTTGGCACCATAGATCTGGGACTTAATTAGATGGGGCATAGAGTCTGAAGGGAACCTAACTCCTCTCAGCATCTTAATACATAGAAAGGACAGACTTGGCACTTCCCTCAACACAGTGATTTGTTTCCCCTGGATTTCAGACACAACTTCTTGGATATCCTCCTCAATGCTAAGGCCACAGTTCATAAATGGCAGAATCTGATCACAATAAGTCATCTGATATCGTCTTTTACGTTTCTGCTTTTTACTTGGAGCTCTGTGTCGAGTGTTTGTCTGTGAAGGAAAATTCATAAAACCTACTTCATTTTGTAAATTAATCTCATCTACAGCTTCCTCCAAACTCCCTGTAGATTCTTCCGAGTCCATTCCTTCCTCGGCTGAGTAATAAGAACTCTCTGAATCGAATTCTTCTTTCTGTGCTGATGATGAAGAGAACTTCTTGTCCTTTTCCTCCTTAGCTTTACTTGCCTCTTGCTCTTTGAGGGATTCTTTCTGCAGCTGCTTCTTCTTTCTGTTTGGCATTTTGGTTTCATTTTTAAATTCCCATGACACCATGCGGGCGTACTCTGGCCTCTTCTTTGCATGTTTGATTAGGTCTTTCAACAAATCTTCATTTTCATCCATTTTAGAATCTAAAAACAATGAATCTTAAAGCATATTATATTAATATATAATTATCACTCTTTAATTTTTTTTTAATAAATAAATGATATAGTATTACATAGCTATATAGAAAAATGCATATGCTCTCTTTCTTAATGCTAGTATAGAAATGCATTGGTATTGTTTGCTTTTAAGCAAAGTAATTTAAGGGGGCCGACTATAGTTTCCATTGCGCAATATTTCGCGCATCATAGTAAAATGAAGCGTACTTACTGTTTTAATGCAACTATTTTTGCTTAATCATTAAAATTAAACAAAATTAAGAAATTATAGGAATAAAAATGTAATTACAATTTGATATAACTGATTTTTTAACCGATTTTGCAATTGATAGATAGGTTGACGTCGTTGCAGTGTGTTTTTTGACATTATGATAATCTGTAGCTCTTAAGGAAAGGGGTAATAAAAATATCATTAAGGAAAAAGTAATAAACATACGCTCTTGAAATTTAAAACATAGAAATTTGAGAATGTCTCCAATATTTTTATCATGTTTTCATGTGAATCCATTGTGTATGTCATATTTTGTAATACTCTATAAAATATAGTAAAATTTGCTATTTTTTTTGGCATTTTGAGATGCCCCCTCTGGTAACAAGACGGTAGAATTTTGTGTTTCTTACATATATTGTATAATATAGTATTACTCATCAGACATTATAGTTTGAACAAAATGTCTATTGTAGTATTTGTATAATTTGCTTTAAAGTGCTAAAAATTGGCATTTTCTTATATAATCCTATAGTAAATGTACATGTATTTTGAGACGGTCCCTCAAAAATACCTGGACGGTAGATTTCCCCCAAACTTTGCGTGTACACTGCAGTTAATGTTATATATGTGTAACGTTTCTGGGTGTAGTGGTGGCTTTTGAATACTTCGTATTTTTTTACCACTCTATGGTTTACCCCGTTACAGAAATTATATGCGGGTCTCTTATTTCTGAAATTTACCCAATAATAAGAAAAGATGGTAATTTTCTATAAATTTATTAAAAATCAATAAAAGCAGTTGAAACAGCTAAAAAGTCAGGAATTTACTAAAATGTGGCCAAAATCAACAAAAAGTGGCAAATACTGGGGAAAATGGGTGTTTTACTCACAAAATGGGTGTTTTACCCATAATCTGGTGAGTTTACCCAGAAAAAGGATGGGGACCCAAAATCACTGGGTTTGTAATGGCATCAGCCTACCCAAACCAATGGTACAAAATGTACCTATGGGTAGAGTACCAGTCTGATGGGCACTGAAGGCACCATGCCTGGTTGAGCAGCGCAAGCACTACTGGCGTTTGTCTCTCAGAACGTCTGTTATATACCTTTTGGTTGGTAGGTGCGAAATACTCCACGCGCGAATAACGTGCGGTGCCGCCATTATTCGCGCGACATTTGTCAACAACTTTGCACCAAGTAAACAAGGCTTTAAAAAGTATTACAAACGCTGGAAAAGGATGAATTATTGGTTGGAAATTACTTTGGAGATGATGCCAAGTGTATTTTGAGTTACATGAGTCGAATAACAATGCCAGACGGCCATTTGTTATCACGATGGGAGTAATCAATGGAGGAAATTCGGGTTTGTACTATACAACCAAACAATATTCGTCTAATAAACATATACGATGAATTATAAAGCATACATTAATAACATACAATGATTGGTGATATTCCCATGATATATACAAATAAAATTACGACATACAGATTTTATATCTAGGGCATAAATTGGGTGATCCAAACTCATGGGTTGTTTTGGTAATGGGAAAATCTGTAACACAGCCCTCCTTCCATGAAAACATTCGTCCCGAATGTTGGATCGTTTTATCATATCTCATTTTGGTGACTAGTTTTCATGGGGATATCGCCATGTAAGTGAAACATAGTCAATGAGTAAAGTTTTCAATAAACATAATCATGGGCCACAAGAATACATATACAAATATCATTATCAATAAATACAATCAACAAGTTACAATCATAGGCATGAATAACAATAATATGAATAACAGTTATTCGATTATCGATACTTAAATTTTACCAAAAAATATTGTATAAAACAATGTTTTTATTTATCACAGTTCATCCGTCATCACTTCCTGGATCCACTGAAATGGAAAAGTCACAACAGGGACGAATCACAAATCTGCATACCACCAGTGTCCTGATTTCACAAATATTCACATTTTTTATACAGTTAACACAGTTACATAATATATTCCTTTGAAATGTCCAAAAAGTCCAGCACACGTCCACTTATTTCGAATTCAGCATCATCGGAAAATGGTGAGGATCCATTTCCGGAATTACATCACTCGACCTGGAAGGATTCCTCAAGGTATGAACTAGGGATGGCTCGCTTAGTGTAGGGTACAGCATAGATGATTTTTCTACATCACTCTGTCCTTGAGAGGGTATAGTGTCTAACGCACTATTTGCATTATCAGCATCAAGGATAAATAATCCTTCATGGTTAGGGTCGGACAAGGCCGGGGAACTCGTTAGAGCTCTTTTGAGTTTGTCATAAGCTACATGACAATTTTCATTCAAATGAAACTCTTGTTTTGATTCATTTGCAATTTCTTTGGGTAGTTTCTTGATATTAGAACATGGCAAGTGGTCTAGAAATTGGGGTTTGAGCTCTGGGCTAGGAGCATCAAGAGTTTGGATATTGTTTAGGTCTTCCCATTTATCTAGTACTTTGTCAACACATTTGACTGTGGCATTTTTGGTATTTTCATAAGAATTGCTACTTTCATCTTTCAAATTCATGTGACAAACTGTGACTTCTCTGTCTACAGTTTCAGGGGTTTGGGGAATCATCAATTCATTTTTCTCAACAAAACTTGGGATAGGTTCTATTATTTCAACCTCATCCTTATTCAAAGGTTTATCTACCTTTTCAGAAGCAATATATTCACAATGGGGAGGATTTACAATATCCTCGGCAAGACTTATCTTGCCACAAGACACAACTTTTACACAAGATGTACTAAAGCAGGAAATGTCTAGACCCTGTACCTTTAGTTTCATCTGTTTTACAAAAAGTTCACATGAATTCTGGGTCATAAAATCTGATCCCAATATGCATGGGTTTTGTATATCAGCCACAAGTACTTTATGGGTAACTTGAACATTTTCAAGTGATATTTTGATTAAGCATTCTCCTTTAACCGGGATTGCATCACCACTTGCAGATGTAAGTTTGATAGATACTGGGGTAATTTGGGGCTTTTCCTCAGTATCTATACTTTCAAAGAATTGGGTACTGACAATAGTCATACTAGCACCTGTATCTACTAGTATATTTGTCTCTTTATTTCCAATTTTTCCAATAACATAAATTCCATCATTTCCCCCTTTTATATCTCTCACTAAAATTTCTTTGGGGGTAGGTGTATTACAACCAGAGATTTCTTTATCAGATTTCTCATCTGTTTTATTTTCAATATTGGGTTTGGGCTTTAGTGAGAGTGGTTGAGCCATATTTAATGGCAAGTGTTGGGGCCTGCCCCTTGATCCTGTCGACTTCCGACCCCCGAATTCGACTCTGGGTAGTTTCCCTGTCCTTGAGGTCGGAAAGGATTTTGTTTTGGTTTTTTGGGGTACTTGCTCCCTTTGTTTGAATTTCCTTGGTAGGTTGGACCCTGGGGTCTTGGTTCATAATTTGTGGGTCTATGCCCTTCATATTCAGGTCTGACTGGGTTTTCATACAAGCCCATATTGTAATAATTTTCATAGGGGGTTTGCCCAAAATTATGGGTCGGCCTTGGACCATTTCTTATAAGGGCTCTGATTTCTTGGGTAAGGGATTGTATGTCATCCCGCAAGTTTTGATTATCTTGCTTTAATGATGAAATAGGGTCAGTGTCACGAATGACATTGACAGTTTTATTTCTCTGGGCATCTGCCAATCTATAAGTTTCTAATCGAATGGCCAAAATTTCTGCTTCGTTTATATCTTTTGGTTTAGCTTCCCTCAACCTTAATCGCATATCTGGGTCTGGTAGGGCATCAATAAATTGATCGAGTGCCAGAATGCTTATAATGGTTGGGTCAGCTGTTGGGTATGCTTGACGGGTCAATTTTTTAATAGATTGGGCCAATTCGGGTAATGATTCATTTGTACCCCTGGTTTTGGTTTTGAGTTGGGCACGGTACATTTCAGATCTCTCAATGGAGCCATATCTTCTGTTTAGGGTTTTTACAAGGGAGTTAAAATCTCTTCTCTGATTTTCATTTAATTTGCTCAGTAGGGCACGGGCACCACCCGTAAGGCTACTGGCAAGGTACAGAGATTTTGTTTTATAATCCCACCCACGCAAGTCAACTAAAATTTCAAATTGGGCGAGGTACTCGTCAAAGTCCTCTGAGCCATCAAATGTTTGGGGTTTTATTGTTACATGGTTTTTTGGTGTACATGGGTAAGGCATTCTGTTTTCATTCCTGTTTATTTCAGGTAATGGGGAATAATGGGTACCCGACATTGTACCGGGGTTATATTCCCTTTGCCCATGAACTGGATTTGAATGATTGCGGGGATGAAAATCATCATAAGAATTGACTGGATGAATGGGTCTGGGTATAACATTTGGAAAATGATTATTGTCTCCCCTATCTTGAATAGGGCTCTTAATTTCTTTTTCCAAATTGCCAACATGCTCTCTCAACCTTTGGTACTCATTTGTCATGCCCAACAATTGTTGGTTTACATTTTGCATGATAGACATGATAGCGTCTAATTGCTTTTCATTCACAGGTTGGGCTATATCTGATGCCTTTGATGGAGAAGGAGGATTGGAAACGGGTGTGGCTAGCCTATCATTCTCCAAGTTGTTAGGTGAAGATGGACGGGACTTACAAGTTACTTCAAAACTTTCTTCAAATTCCATGTTGTACAACAAAAAAAAAAAATGGACAATTTCAATAAAGTGTATTGAATTAATAAAATTGTACCTAAGTATAAAAATGATT